AAAAGCGCAAAAGTTTCTTATTAGATATTATATAGTTGTGTAAAGTAAGATAGTATAGTGTAAGATCTTAGGAATCTGAGTAGATGTAGAATTAAACGGGATTAGTCATATATAGATGATTGAGATTTTGTAAATAAATAGAAACAAATACTATTGAAAATTAAATCCATGCTTGCTTACCTAATAATAACATTTGGCGGCATTTACTTTAATTAAATTTCGTTTTCTTTTTTTATTTTGTAAAATTGATTAGTTTATCAGCACGTGATAATTTTCGCATGATAAAAATTTACAATTTTGATTGGTTAAACCAATATGCGTGAGAATAAAAACCTGTGAACTGATTATAATGATTGACTATGATCAGTTACGTACAGGTTTTCATTCTCTTACTAAATAAACGCATTATATAAATGCAGATTTTTTTAAGAGCGAATAACTTTTTAAAAACTAGACCACTTTTTTTTAAAAAAAATAGATAACTTTTTAAAACCTTTTTGAAAACTAATACCCTTTTTTTCAAAACGGATAACTTATTAAACCCTTTTTGAAAACACGCTTTTTTAAAAAAAACTTTGTTCAATTTAAAAAACGACACTTTGTTGAATTTTGTTTTTTTTTATACAAGAAAACGACGACGCCATATATTCGCAACAAAAGAAAGTTCAGTATTATGAATGGAGACGATTTTCGAAAACATGAAGGCTGTTACCTCTCGTTTAAGATCTATTGATTTTCAAGAAGGAATCAGTATAAATTTTATCGAAGTAATAAACCTTGGTTGGCCGTCTGGCTTCAAATAAGTGTCTAGTCGGCTATTAGTGTTTATTGGCTTGATATAAGGGTGTTTAACTAAGTTTTCGTAACTGGCCCTTTCGCAAGTGTTAGCGTCTGTTACTGGCTTTTTTTGGGGGTGTCTAGGCGGGAGAGGAAACATACCACGTAATATTGACTAGTTATTTGGCTATTTATCCGGCTATTTATCCGGCTATTTACTAATTTTATTTTTTATTTTTCTTTAGTATACAATAGGTTGGCTTTGGTTTTTATTTTTTTCTCTTCGGATGATGCTACGTTAAATATGC